TAACAGTTGAGGGGAATGCGACGGAAGTCTCTTCCCAAGATCACGGATACACTTTCATGAAACTTCTTGCCAATACCTCCTATGTCTTTAAAATAAGAGCTGCCACCTCAGCTGGCGAAGGTGATGAAAGTACATGCAACATCAGCACGCTACCTGAAACAGGTAACTAAGCTGAAACAGGTAATTAACCTGAAAGAGAGAACTAACCTGAAACACGTAACTAATCCCAGACTGTGTTATGTGTTTGTCAGTATCATTTGTAATCTTTACAGCACATTTATCTAAAACTATGCAAGAAACAGTTAAAAAAAAAAAACCAAACAAACAAAAAACACATACTTTTTAGCTCCACATTTACCCGAGGACCAGCTGTGTAGTATATGGAATCATCTCCACGACATTGGGAAATTGGAAAGAGGGAAAAAGAAAAATCTGCTTTATTGTGTTTTCACAAGTATCTATTTCTTATTATCTAAACACCAAACTTACTGAATTATACCTTATCATAATTTAAAATAGGCAATGAACATGTAAACTTCTGGCACTCTCTCTTTTTAAATTGACTTCATCACATTCCAGATGCTTCCCTGAATTCTGTAGTCACAGTGGCTGACTCACTTTCCTCTATGTCCTTCCTTTTATAACAGCCTTTATATTTTATATTATTGGAATAGAAATATCCAGGTCACTAAGCTCTAGTCTACAAAGACGAAAACCCTCACTCCTCCTAACGTTGACCTGTCCTGTGTCGTAATCTCCTTCCTCTTCTACCTTCTGTAAAACTGCACCTGCTCCTATAAATGAAAGCTTGAGTCTGTCCTGATAACACCACTTCCCTGAAGGCCCCCCCCCACAATGGGGGATGGTGGGAACTGGCATAGTTGTTTATCTCTGGCACATCTAGATTCCTTATCTTGGAAACATCTTTTAACCCTTTGCTCCATTTGAAATCAACATCACTCAATTTTAGTCCACTTTTCTATCTCTGAGGCTATCAACCAGAGAACTTCAAGATGTAGTGTACCTTCTCTCTGATTGCAGCATCCATATCGGCGTACCTTTCATCCTTTCAGTGCAGCATTTCTTCAGACTTCAGTGTTTTCTCTGTTCATCTGGAATGGATACATTTCAACAACACCTATCTCTTGCTCCTTAGATCTCAAACCATGTCATTGTGACCATCTAGAAAATTACCAACTCTGAGCAGATCCT